TTATCATTATAAATAAATATATTTACATATGTACATGCCTGCATTTAGACCTCTATAAATGTCCTTTGCCTCCTAGCTCTTTTCTCTATTTCCTTTTACTTTCCTCTTGTCCCACTATCATGCTCAGCCTTCATTTGGGTTTCAGTAATTCCTCATGGTTACATTGCCCTTGATCAAGCCCCACCAGGCATCCTATGCCCTCCTTGGCATTGGTTTTAGATCACTTGCTGTTCCTTTTCTTTGGGCCAAGCCTGTAACTCTTAAGGGAGTAGAAAGCCCCGTCTTTCTTCCCAGGGGCGGCTGGTGGTTTCTAACTGCTGACCTTGCTGTTGTTCGCAGCCCAATGAAAAACCAACAACAAAATAAAGAAAATGTAAGGGAAAACAACAACAAGAAAAGCCCAATACTTGGAGTTGGTGTAAAGACTGAACTAAGGTAACCCCTTAATTAAAAACTCCAAACCCAGGACCATCGAGTCACTTCCAAATCCCGGTACCCCATGGCTTCCAGAGCGGAACTGCTCCATAAAATTTTCTGGATTGTCATCTTTATGGAAGTAGATGACCATTGCTTTCCTCCAAAGCGCTGCTCAGTGGGTTTGAACCAACAACCTTCAGCTCAGAAGCTGAGGGCAAGCTGCTTGCCTCCCACTTGGAACCAATAACCTGCTTGTGGTGTTTTCCCGGCTGAAAACCCTTCAGGCTGCCCTCATCCTCAGCCCAGCTCTCTAGGTCTGGCACCAAGTGGCTCTAACCCACCAGAGCCCTGGTCATACCCACCAGGACTCCATGCCCCCGCTTCCTAGCACCACAGCAGGGACAGGCCAGCTCCTGCTCTGCCACATCCTCTCCACGTGACCTTTACATTAAAAGGAGGGTTTTTACATAAGAAATTGCTTGGAGCCCACATGGTGGATCCCTTCTCTATGCTTCATCTTTGACCACTGGGATGACAGAGGCACAAGACAGGCATTGTTTGAGCTGGGCAGCCCCCAGCTGGCGCTGATATCCGCATCTTTTGCGATTAACCTGGAAGCTGATCAAGATGACTGCAGGTCTGAGAAGAAAACTGCTAGCAAGTGTGAGCAGGTGTGTGCATACCTGGCCAGTTCTAAAAGGAAGTAGCCCCTAGCGGCAAAGGTGGCTGGAGCTCAGGTGAGATGATTGTATTTACAATGATGGTTTGGGAGCCTCTCCAAGTTTTAGTGGCGAAGGGCGAGGCAGTGATACCAACCTCCTCCCTGGGCCGGCGCTCAGCACCATCTCTGACACACACATTCCCAGCAGCCACCGAGAGGCCTGCTGACTCAGAGGCCATGCTTAGAATAGGACATTTTCCTTCTCTCTCGAATTCATTCTTCTGTTTTGGCTTGGTTCTCTAGGCAACAGTCCCTCCGGCTGAAGCATTTCTAGAAATGAACAGATAAGTGGAACGCCTCCTGCTAGCTCACGTCCAAATTTAGCACCCTCACGCGCCACCGTGGCCTGTGTGCTCAAGAACCCATCACAGGCAGGCCTCCCTGTTTCCAGGTGAACTTCACCTGTGGTGGATTCTACACTCTGCAGAGTCGCCAGGCATGAAGGACCTCGCCACCCCAGCCAGCCCCTTGCAACCTGCTCTGCATCCCATTCAGCGCCCTCCACCACCACCCCCTGCACCCCAGGGAAAGGACAGTGAGTCCTTGGCCAGGGGTGACTCGCCCCCATACCAGCCTGCTGCCCTGCCTCCTCAGGAACCCTACACTCCCCCGCCCCTCCGCTTCAATCTACCTTAGAAAGCCCTCTGCCTTCAGCATCTGGAGGGGCATCTGCATGCAGATACCCAGCTGGCCCTTCTCCATTCTCCCCCTTGCTGTGGGCTTGCCGGCTCTGTGCCTCCAGAGCAGGGTGGCTAAAAGACGGGACACCATCCCTCGTTGCCTCCGTCTCCCGAGCACACAGTAAGCGGGTGTCGGCCCTGCCCTCACAGGGGCATTGGAGGCAGGCCCTGGAGCCCCGAGGCAACTGCTCAAACTAGCAGTTGTCAGGACTCACTCTGCTGGTCATTCTGATGCCCTAGCCTGGCCTGTTTCCTGTTCCCTGACATCCTTCCAGGGTCTGTCCTGGGGAAGAGTTGGCCAGGTATGGGCGGGGGTCAGTGTTTGCTGCTTTTACTGTACCGTTGTCATTAGCATCGTGCCCTGCCTCATCCTCCGGGCAGCAACCTTCCAGGGTCTCTCCAGGAAGAAGCAGGTGGCCCACCACACCTGGTGCCACCGTGACCTCAGCTTCTGATTGCACCCCGAGCACTAGCTTGAGAGGACAAGGGGTGGGCCGGGTGAGGGACAGGTGAATACAGCTGAGAATAAGGCTCTCCCAGAAAGCAAACTGGCACCCCACTTCTCAGCCCTTCTACAGACAGGTACACCGCCCCTTCTTGCTAGAGAGCCCCACTGGCCTGCAACTGGCCCAGGTAGGCAGGAAGCTGCTGGCTCTGCCCACAGCCGCCTGCACTTTCCTCTCAATGGGAGAGGCCTCCCCCAGCTCCAGACCCACTCTCAGGAAAGGAGCCGGGATCAGTCATTTGTGCTGTCGTCTGAATTTTACCCTGGTCCCTCTCCCAGAACCTCTGGCTGTCAAAGCCTCCTCTTGTCCTAACCCCCTATCTTTCCTGGCTCCAGCCTATTCCTACCCACCTACTGGGCTCCCATCTGGTAGGAGGGAGTCGGGGTGGGGGCAGGGCGCTCTAGCTTCTAAGCTCCCTTCTTAGCAGCCCTGCTAGCCTGTCAATCCACGGGCAGAGCCATTAATGAAGCCACCATTTAAGGAGCATCTATCCTGTGCCAGGCCTCATGCAGGGGGCTAGGGACTCCCAAGATGCCCCACAGTCAGTCCCTGCCCTCTAAGTGCTCCTATGTGTTGGGGACGGACAGGTAACAAAATGGCACCTGATGCATGGATGCTGTGGGAGCCTAGAGGAGGACCCTAATGGACTCACCTCGGAGGCCAGGCCAGGGGACACTTGGAGAGGAGGGAGCTGGCAGAGGCCACGAAGCAGTCCCTTGCCAGACACCTGCTACACCTTGCCTGAGTGCCAGCACCCTCCTGCCGGCTGGGACTGCCCAGAGCCCCCTGCAAGGGACACCGGCCTTAGTTGGTGATCTATGGGCCCCAGCCCTGCCTGGGAGGGCCTCACAGATCAGGTTTCCCACTGCCAACTCATGTCCGAGCTCAGTTCCCAATGCTCATGTAACCTGAGGGCAAAAATAGAACTCGGCTTTGGCTCTGTTCAGGCTCTGGGAGGATGGGGAGAGGGCCTCCAACGATGGCAGGGCAGGGCATTGGGCACAGGCCGCCTCTGACCTAGGGCGGCCCCCATGCCCTTCTGGTGACAGGATCTCAGCTGAGCAGAGGGAGAGCGAAGATGCCCCTCCATCGACAGACGAGGGGATAGACCAGGACAAGACCCAGCCTGCGCGAGGTTGCCCAGCAAGCCTGAGCAAAAGTGGTGGCTAGCACCCAGGACTCCCCACCCCAAGTGGGTGCCTTGGCCTCCTCCACGTCTCCCCTGGGCTGAGGAAGAGACAGGGTGAGGTCTGGCTGGACTCAGAAGTCCCTCAACAGGGAGGCAGAAAGGTGGTCTCCACTCTCAGGCTGAGAGATTTAGCAGGTGTAGGCCTGGAAGTGCGGGAGAAAGAGGAGGCTTTCTCCCATCAAGAGTTACAGTCTTGGAAAACCACAGAGACAGTTCTACCCTGTGCTACAGGGTCGCTAAGAGTCTATGCAATCAGAAGCTGAGGGCACAGTGGCACAGTGGCGAGTGGGTTTGGTTTGGGGTTTGAGGCTGGAACTCGATCCCACCCTCTGCCGGGCCCTTACATGCCCTTTCAATTAGCACTGGGCTCCAGAGTCGCACAGACCAAGTCTGAATGCCCAGGAGCCGTGTGGACCTAAGCAAATCACAGGACCTCTTGGGGTCTCATGTGTATCCCAACAGGACCTCTTTAGGTCTCCTGTGGGTTCCAGCGTCCGTAAAGCGGAGCCCAGCATGGACGGGCCCTGCTGTGCCAGAGCCTCCCAGAAAGATCAGTCCATACCAGACTGAACCAAACCCTCACTTCCCAAAGCCTACCAAAGGCCTCGCCCTCTTCCTCTCTCCCTGCTGCACACCCAGGGCAGCCCATCACAGCACGGAGTCAACTGCCTGCGGCTCACTAGACACAGGGCCCAGGCAAGCCTCCCCCGCTCTCAGTCAAATGGGCCAACATGACACCTACCTGTCAGGACACAGTGCGGGAAGCCAGTGACCAAGCACAAGGCACCCATCTGGTAGCTATTATTAAATACAGGGTGGGCTTCCAGGAGGAGCCCAGATGGCACAGTGGTTAAAGCACTGTGGCTGACCGAAAGCTGTGCACAGTTTGAACCCAGGAGCTGCTCTTCTGTACCGATTCCCAACCTTGTAAACCCGGTGGACAGTTCTACTGTCCTATCATAGGTGGCTATCCTAGCAATGGAAACCCATTGTTCTGGAGGAGGGGGGTGTTTTGGCCTCAAGAGATTAAGTTTGAGGCTTGCAACCGTCGGAGCTTCTATTTCTATCTCTTCCAAAGCCACAAGCCTCTTATTTCCTCATCTGTAAAATGGGCTCACACCCAGCCTGCCCCATCTCCCCAGCCAGGGCCCCAGCACTCACTCTGCTGGACGGACTTCAGGCCTCGGAGGCAGGTGGCGGCCAGCAGGAAGCCACAGCCAGCCGGGGGTGCACGGAGCTCTCCAGCCAGGCTGCAGGCAGCCCCCAGGCAGAGCGGGCCCATGGCTACGAACTGCAACGGGTGGTGGTGACGGCCGAGCAGCAGCGCCGACAGAACCAAGGTGAACAGCGGTGTGATCGTGGTGGCCAGCTGGGCCAGGTCCAGGGGTACGGCGCTCAGGCCCACGTTGCCGCAGGCCATGGAGGCGCCGAAGGTGAGGCTGAGCAGCAGCACTCGGCGTCGGGTGCGGCCCGGCAAGGGGCGCCGTGCTGCCCAGCGGCATGCCAGCGCTGCCGCCAGCATGTGCAGCGCCGAGAGCAGTAGAGGCCGCCCGAAGCCGTGCACCGTGAAGATCCACTTGTTGAGGCTTGACATGCTGGCTCCCGCCAGGAGCCACACCAGGGCCGCCAGGGCCACCCGGGCCCGGCCAGGCCGTCTGAGGGCCTGGGGGATCCCGAGTGTCCGCTCGGGGGGCTCAGCCACCCGGGCACCATCACCCCCTAACGCTGCTTCAGCCGAAGTCATCCTGCCGTCATGGTGCTCCAGGGGGCAGTGGCACATCCGCACCTGTGGGCCCGCGGCGGAGGGCGGGCCCCCCAGGGAGGCGCTCTGGAACCCCAGGGGGCCCCCGCTGCGGGCCAGGCCCAGTCCAGGTTCCGTGGGCCCCGTGTCCCGCCTCTGGCGGGTGAAGGCACCCCTTCCTGGGTCAGGCCTGGGCCAATCAAGGTCAAGATGCTGTGCGGGTGGTTTGCAGTTCCAACCGGGAAAGCTGAGGTCTGGGCTGCGGGTACCCAGGACCGTGCTACGGGGCTACCAGGGAGGGCAGCTCTGCCCAGTGCCAGGCGAAGCCTCCGCTCTTCTCCCGCCTAGTGCCCACGCTGCGCTCTCAGGTGGAAAAGATACATCGTTCTTTTCTCTCTTCGGGCCCCAGGCCGTTAGGGTGGGCACCTCTTGCGTGCCCTGGCCCGCGCAGGGGCGCTCCGGGCTCCGGGCTCCCGTGCCTGGATGCCCGGGGCTCTGGGCTCGCTGTCTCCGACAGTGTCCAGGCCGCGCAGCTGACACCCGGCCTGCTGCTGCCGCACGGGGGCCTGTGCTCGGCGGCGGGATCGGCTGCCTCCGGCCCGGCCCGCGCTCCCGTTCCGGCTCCGGTTTCGGCTCCGGCTCCGGATGCCTCGGGTTCGGAGCCGCTCGGGCTGAGGATGCTACCCTGGCGGCTGCTTCCGCTGGGCTCCAGCCGGGCGCCGCGGGCGTGGCCCTGGTGGTGTGGGCCCCGCCCCGCCCCGCCCCCAGAGCGGGAGCCCGCGGGGTGGGGACGGGCCGAACAGGCCTTGCCCCGCCCCTTGCCTGGCATTCCTTCCCTGGTCCTCAGCCCGCGCTTCTGCGCATTAGAGGACCCTGCAGCCGCGCCGGTCAGCCTCTCCTTCCCCTAGCCCCACCGAGGCGGGGTGCAAGCTCAGGTTCCCTGATAGGGACCAACATAAGGTGGGAAACAGTGGGAGAGAGCCCCCCACACTGTCTTCACGGATGGGGTGGGAGCCCCGAGGAGGACCCCACGTTCATCCTCCCAGGATGAGTCTCGGGTTCTTCCGGTCGATGGCGGTGGGACTTCAGCATCCAGCAGAACTGGGCCTCTCCGTCGCCCCTCCTTAGCCCCAGCTTCCTCTCCCCCGAGTCCAGGGCCGTGGCCCCTCTAACCACAGGGTGAAGCTGAATCACCGCTGCGGAAGCAGGGCAGGGCCTGTCTCCATCTGCAGGGCCAGCCTGCCCTCCGACTCATAGCTGGGTTTCCTGCCGTCCACCCTCGGGTCACAGTCTTGGCAGGACATAGAGTCCGGAGCTGGCGTTGGAACAGCTTGTCGTCCAGCTCCTGCCTGGCCTTTGCTATCCCATAAGAACAATGGGTATTCGCTGAAGTCCCACCCACTGCCGACGCATGGCAACCCCATACAGTACAGGATTTCCAAGGCTGCAACTCTGCAGAGGCAGGCAACCTCCACTTGCTCCCTCTGATCAGCTGGAGGGTTTAACTGCCTGCCATCTTTGCGGTTAACGGTCCAACGCTTGGCCCGTATGCCAAGGCTCAGGGCTCAAGGCTCAAAGCTCAGGGCTCAATCCTCTGAGCTCAGGGAGAGATAATACACGCTGGCCAGAGCGAGGCGAGTCGAGCTGGATTCCAGGCCCCGTCTCAGTCTCTATCTTGGGCCCAATGCCCACTGCAAGCCTCCTTCTTGACATCTGGCTGCCTTTCCTGCCCGTGTGCGATTTTCCAGTAAGCAAGGTAAACACAAGGAGTGTAGTGATCAGTTTCACAGATATGATGAAGCCGTAAGTGAACTGTTCACTATAAGCTCATGCTGATTTTTGCTTAATGGGAAAGCCACCCTGCTCCTGCACCACCAGCAAGTCCTAAGGACAGCTACCTGCCTGCAGGTATGAGCCTTTTAGCACGGCCCAGAGCACCATCTGGTGGTCATGGCTCAGAACGGCTGGCTGCACGCGCCCCCGCAGACCAAACCCCAAACAATGGCCAATAGGGCAGGGTAGAACTTCCCCTGTGAGTTTTCAAGACTGTAACTCTTTATGGGAGTAGAAAGCCTCATAATTACTGTGAAGTGTAAGCTCATTGTGGTAGCCACAGTGGCAATCCATCTCATTGAGAGTCTCTCTGTTTTCAATGATCCTTAACCAAGCATGATGTACTTTTTCAGGGACTGGTCTCTGCTCAGAACATGTCCAAAGTACATGAGCGCAGGCTTACGGTACTATCCATATTCTTCACCAAATCCATACTATCCGAATGCATCCATTATTTTGCAATCTTCCTTATTATTCATTGTCCAACTTTCATATACCTATGAGGAGACTGAAAAGACCATGACTTGGGTCAGGGCTTAGTCCTTAAAATAACATCTTTGCTCTTCAACTCTTTAAAGGGGTCTTGTGAACCAGATTTGCCCAATGCAAATGTTTGATCTCTTGACTGCTGCTTCCATGAGCACTGAGGATGCATCCAAGCAAGATGAAATCCTTGATGACTTCCATCTTTTCTCGATTCATCAGGATGTTGTCTGTTGGTCCAGTTGTAAGGCTATGGGGTGTGTTTACATGGAGTTGTGATCCATACTGAAGGCTGCAGTCCTTGATCTTCATCAGCAAGTGCTTCGAGTCCTCCTCACTCTCAGCAAGATAGGCTGTGTCATCTGCATATCACAGCTTGTTAATTAGCCTTCCTCCAATCCTGATGCCCCCTTTTCTTCATATAATCCAACTGCTCAGGTTACCTGCTCATACAGATTGAACAAATATGGTGACAGGATACAACCATGATGCACAACTTTCCTGACTTTAAACCATGAAATATCTCCTTTTTCTGTTCAAACAACTGCCCCTTGGTCCATGTTCAAGCTCTACATGAGTAAACATGGAAGTGTACTGGAATTCCCATTTTTTTGCAACATTATCCGTCGTTCGTGATGATCCACACAGTTGAATCCCTTGGCGTAGCCAATAAAACACAAATATTTTTCTGAATTCTCTGCTTTCAGCCAAGATATGCTTTGTTCCACATCCTCTTCTGAATCTGGCTTTCATTTCTGACCGCTCCATTACTGATGTTCTGGTACCATTTTTAAATTTTCTTGAGCAAAATTTTACTTGCAGTGTTTGATAATTTCCGATTTCTGTTGGGTCACCTTTCTTGAAAATGGACCAAAAAATGTGCATCACTTTTCGTCTGTGGGCCAGGAAGCTGCCTTCCAAATTTTTTGGCATAGATGGTTGAGTACTTGCAACACACCATCAGTTTGTTGAAACATTTCCATTGGTATTCCATCAATTTCCTGTAGCCTTGTTTCTCGCAAATACCTTCAGTGCAGCTTGGAATTCTTTCTTCAATACCATTGACTAGTACCTCTTGACATGGTTGAATGTCTACCAGTTCTTTTTGGCATCATGACTCTGACTCTGTATTCCTTCCATCTTCTCTTGATGCTTTCTGTATTGCTTAATATTTTTCCTTACCTTAAACTCACTGCCACAACTTAAATCCGTCTATTCCAATTCATAGTGACCCTGTAGGGCAGAGTAGAACTGCCCCGATAGGGTTTGTTCCTGATACTGCAACATTGTACAAGTGTAGGAAGCCTTGTCTTTTTCCTTTGAAGCAGCGGGTGGTTTCAAATTGCTGATCTTGTGGTTAGCAGCCCAACACATCACTCACTAAGTCACGAGATAGCTTTATACTTTATACTTTACCATAGAAGTCTTCAATATTCAATCCTAGCCTTGAGAAAAGTTGAGCACATTCGTGTCTTCTGGTTTCCTGACTACAATTCTTCACACACGCCAGTATACCACTTCTCTCAAGTCTTCTGAAATGGCCTTTTGGTGTTTTGGAACTTTCTGTTCTGTTCTTTTAGTTCAACATTTCTTCTATTAGCTCTAGCTTCTCTACACTCAAGAGCGAGTTTCAGATTCTCTTCTGACCTTCACTTTAGTCTTTTCTTTCTTTCTTGTCCTTCTAATGACCCTTTGCTTTCTTCAAATATGAAACGGAATTGCACAGGACAGAGCCAAGCTTTTGTAGTAAGCATTTTTCCCACGAGGTGAGCAACTCACACTGTTAGTGCACCCAGTGGTGTCACCTGGGAAGGCTCTCTGGTCACAGTGATTTTTTGGGTGTGGAAACAGTTTCACTCAAACCTTGTTTTTTGTGATGGCTGAGTTAAGAGAACAACGTGTGGCAGTGAAATTTTGTTTCCTGCTCAGGAAAAATGCCACAGAAACTGTTGTGATGTTGAACACAGCTTAAAGGGACAGCATTATGGGAAAAACTCAAGCATATGCGTGGTTTCCTCATTTCCAAAAAGGTGAAATGTTGATTGATGACAAACCTCGTTCTGGACATCCATCAATTTCCTGAACTGATGAAAATATTGACTAGTAGTGCATTTGGTGTTCGTTCCACTAGGTCAGACCATGCTTTCTGTTTTGAGGTTCTGAAAAGATACCGTAACAGTGTGCAATGAAAAAGGCCTGATTTGTGGCAGATGGGGGACTGGTTTTGTCACCACGACAATGCACCTGCTCGCACAGCCATCTCAGTGCACCAGTTTTGGGCAAAAAACAACATGTCTCTCTTGCCCCAAGCACCTTACTCACCTGACCTTACTCCGTGCAACTTCTTTTTGTTTCCGAGAATGAAAGAGGGACATGAAGACAATGATTTGACCAGGTAGAAGAAGAAGAAAAAACAAAACAGAGGTGCTGTCAGCCAGCCAAACAGATGAATTTGAAAAATGTTTCCAAGAATGAAATCACAGATTTGACAGATGTATTAAGTGTAATGGAGAGTACTTTGAAGATGATACGGTTGTTGTGTAAAAAAACTTTCAAATACATAGCTTTTCAAAAAGAATTCTGTTTTGGGGAGGGTACTCCCTCATACAATGTTATTGATGTTGTCCCATAACCCATCTGGTCTTTGGTCATTAGTGTTCAATGAATCAAATGTGTTCTTCAGATGGTTTCTAAATTCATGTGGGATGCACCTAAGATCATCTTTTGTTTTTTACAGACTGTAATTCTCTTTAGGCTCAACTTCAACTTGCAAGTGAGCAATTGACGGCCTGTACCACAGTCGGCCCCTGGCCTTGCTTTGACTGATGACATTCAGTTTGTCCATTGTCCCTTCCCAAAGACATAGTGATTTTTGAAATAGTTCTATTGGCATGTACTTCACAGATCATAGAACTTAATCTAAGAAGATTTGTATCAGCATCACCTCAATCAATTTCAGAACATCTTTTTTTCTCATACTCATTGTTAACTCCCATCTCCCCCATCCTCCCCTGCCGTGCCCCTGTCTCTATAGATCTACCTATCCTAGATTTCATTTACAGAAAGTCATACAAGACAAAGCCATACAAACAACAAACCCAACAACGGCTAGACAAAACAAAGAAAAGCCTCAAAGAGAAAGCAGAAAAGATGAAACCATTTTAAAATGAGTTCATAAAAAAGAGATCAAATGAGAGTACAACATCTTTACCTCACTTGGTCCTTGTGTGTTTCAACTGGGGATGCCCACGGGAGCAGTTACCATTTACAGTGATGCAAAAGGTTACCCGTAGTAAAGACCCATTGGTCTTGAAAAACTTTAGGATGCAATGCCCAGCGTCCTTTCTACCACCAAAGCCATATTTCCCAGTTCTTTTATTCCTTTGCATTCCAGTAACTGGTAGTGATCGATGCATCTTGATTGCACATTTGATTGATTTCAGATTGAAGACGTTAGTAGAATTCTTTAATTTCCTCATCCCGGGTTTAGTGGTTGGTGCATAAACTTGACTGACCAGTCCTCCTTGTGGGCATTATCCTGTCCTATAACGCATTCAAGATCTTTATTTTTTTTAGTCATTTTATTAGGGGCTCTTACGGCTCTTATCACAATCCATACATACATCATGCCAAGCACACTTGAACATTTGTTGCTATCATCATTTTTTAAACATTTTCTTACTACTTGAGCCCTTGGGTATCAGCTCATCCCCACCCCGCTTCCCTGATGAATCCTTGATAATTTATAAATTTTTTTTTTCCATGTCTTAAACCAACTGGTCTCCCTTCACCCACTTTTCTCTTGCCCATCCCCCTGGGAGGGGATTATATGCCAATCATTGTGATTGGTTCCCCCTTTCTACCTCCACCTTCCCCCCACCCTCCTGGTATTGCTATTCTTATTGGTCCTGAGAGGTTTATCTGTCCTGGATTCCCTGTGTTTCAAGCTCGACTCTGAACCAGTGTACACGCTCTGGTCTAGCCAGATTTGTAAGGTAGAATTGGAATCATGATAGTGGGGAGAAAGCATTAAAGAACTAGAGGAAAGTTGTATGTATCATTGGTGCTATACTACACCCGGATTTGCTCATTTATTCCTTATG